TAGAAGTACACGAATAGCGTGCCGAAGAGTAGGTTATACACGAAGCCATAGTAAAATGAAGCAAACATGTTGAGCCAGCTGGCTGTAGGCGAGAAAACTAATGCACCGTAGAAGGGAGCGATGGTGTGCGCGGCAAAGACGAATACCTTGAAGAATAGCAAATAGTCCGAGCGCTGCTCCACCGCATTGTCAATGCGTAGCTTGCTGAAATAGTCCTTCTCGAGCTGAAAGAGCGCCTCAGCTATATCCACATAAAGCGTTTCATGCTTCCGACGCAGCAGCACGGTGATGATCACCGCACTGAATGTGATAAGCATCGTCATGCCATCGGTGAGCATAGACAAATTATGATTGTAGCCCTGAGGCAGTTGGGCTGCCTCCAAAACATAGGCAAACGGTACGAGCAGTATCGTCAGCAAATTTACAGAGAAGACGTAAAGGCGGAGAAGTCGTGGCCGATCTATTCTCTGTTCCGGAAAGTTTAAACGCAAACATGTGATGCCCAAAATTATGGCGCCGATATTAGCATAGCCAATGATACAATTCCGTAGCTCAGTACGCCTTGCAGTCCGCATCGTCACCGTTCACCAACTCAACTGGACTAACTGAACGGACGCGATTGTAAGAGTGCAACAAAGGCACAAGCAGTTTGACATTTGATAATCGACTAGTGTATCTCGTATAATCTAAGTAAGCACGTTGGACAGTGTTTTGCTGAGGTAGATAAGGAACTCTGGTGTACACTTTAAAACCAATTTGATGAATTTAATACAGCTGAGTGCCGTAACCTCTTTCAACTTAAACTTTCTGAAATCTATTAACTATTCATTGTCATACTCCCTTGTGGCAAATATATGTTCGAATGTTGAAAATAATGAAATGATGAAAATATTTTTCAAACAACTCGACACTTGCAAGCAGAGTGGACACAAACGATGAAACCACGACTGTTTTTCTTCAAGTACGTAAGTATGCAAGAACAATAGAGTTCTCACCGGGTCCTAGTTCTATTGAAAGCAATTTTGGAGCACATCATAAGTGAGCTCTGGGACGGAATATCTACTTTTTCTCTCACTCACCATCTCCCACCTTCTTCACCATCTCTTCTTTGGTGGTCCGAAAAAGGGACGAATGACACTTGAACAGAGATACGGAGTTACAATTTCATTGCAAAGTCTCTGCCTCATTCATTTGCAATGATTATTTTTTTATATATTTTCACCCAACATTTTTTCTTTCATTTACATATATATTGGTATTGCCAATTTCACACGCCGAAACCCATTACAACTGAGCGAAAACACGAAAACAAAGTTAACGCAGATGCAAAAACAACAATTTTTTAATCGGTCGAATATTAACGGTAAGGAACACAGGGAAACCACGAAGAGAAAACCAATGTAAATTTAATATCGAGTCAGAGAAGGAAATCTCAGATGCCTTGCTTTCCATATGGAAATGGCGAAGGGCGGAGTGCGCTAATTGGATTTGTAGCAATTAAATCGGTACTCACTCACTCATAAATTCGAATGCAAGTAAATAAATTGCGGAAGCAGAAGAGAATGCATGAAAGGGAGATTGGAGCCAAGGAGCTCTGCGTAAGAACTGTTGCAAATATGGATTAATATGCACAATAATATTGAATAATTTCAGAAAGAATATGAAATTTTATTCTTAAGACCTCTGCGGTCAATTTGCAGAGTTTATTACACAAACAGAAAAAAAATGTTGGCTTTCAGTTTCAGTCGACAGCTTGCCGATCCGGTAAGACTACCGAGAACCCAAAATATGGCAAAGGTTAAACAGAATTTGCGTTGAGTTGTGGCGTTCCTCTGACAACTAGGAGGGGATTTGGCGTTTTTTTCAAATATTCTTTTGTATGACAGTTTTTAAAATTTCGCAGTAGCCTTCATAAGTCCAATAGAAAAAGTGGCGAACTCTCTAACGCCACTTGCCATCCTTTAATAATCGGTGCTTCAGCCGAGTCTACAATCTGGTATCTTGTCGCTGTTTGGCTGATAGTAGGGATACTGGTTTGGTATCGCTTATTTCATGTGATGTGGTGATTCCCGCCTCGATGTAACCGCCATATCGAAAGTTTTCATTCTTCCGGGTAGCTATTGGAGCATTTTAAGACTTTACTCTTACGTATGATGCGGTAAATAGTCCATGGCGTCCCTTGAGTCAGAGCTGAGAGAGTGGAATCATCAACGCAGTAACTCCGAAATATTCTGTTTAAGAGCTCGCAGGAAGGACCAGAGATGCGGTTGAAAACGAGTGGTCTTGAAGCATGCGGCTCGGTTTATAAATATGTCACATCTGGTCCCCGTGTTGTACATTACCAAATGATTTTTCAGACAAATAAATATAGTAAAACGAAGTACAGAAATCAGTAGATAACGAGACGAGGTGAATGAGAACGAGCCCGAGAAACAGCCAGAGCAGCCAGCTTTGCACGTTAAAGGTTCGTGGGAAATCTCTGCAATATATAGCTCAATTCGACATGCGGCACTTTTTAGTGGTTCTTTCATGAGAATTTACAATATTTATATTTATTATTTAATTTTTCTCGCTTAACTTTTAACTGCCATCTCTCGTTTTCATTTGTGCATCCATTATGTAATCGAATTGTATTAGTATGAGCGCATGCATAACGGTGTTGCGTAGGGCCACAAATGTAGAACGATGATCCATATCGAACATGCCATAAATATTGATGCTGAATTTTGTCACCGTCGCGTTCAAGCCGAAATTCACACACTGAAAATGAAAAATGGAAAATTAAAGTGGAAATGAAAAAGAGATTGAAATAAGAATTTCACAATAAAAATATATAATAATATCTATTTTCCATTCAGATTCGCCACTTGCCATTTGTTCGTACTCCGTTGCCGCGTGCAAGTGATGCTGCTGCCGCCTGAGCAACTCCAGTGCCACACTGTGACGAGCCACCAGCAGCTCGCAGCAGTGATTTATTAAAAATATATCAAATGATTTAATGGCGAACAGCGAGAAGGACAACAAGACAAACATGTGACATGTGGACCAATTTGCCAAATGGATAAAACCCACGTAGAACGCCGTGGTGTTACTGAGGAAGAATATCAACAGCAGCCACGTAATGTGAAAGCGGTATAAATTATTCACCCCGGTCACAATCACTTGCAGCTCCTCATGTACTTGCAACACTCTACGCAGCTCTGAAAGTTCAGAACGCATACCAAGCACTTCAGCGCTGAGCCGCTGCAGCTCACGTCGCAGGTGCATGTTGAGCACGTCGTACCGCCTGACTATGTGCAACAGTGTAAGACAGTAGCTGAATATGATTGAGTTCAGATAATTCCAGATGAAGAAGTAGTACAAATTCAGCAGAAGATCCATCCAGTTTAGCAGACGTTTGGCCGATACGGTCATCGGCCCCATTATGAGTGAGGCATTTTGTGAAAAATATGATAAGAACTTCAACCAGAAGACCCAATTATAGCTGGGTCCCTGTGCATACACCGACCACCGCTCAAAGTATCGACGCTCCAAATATAACAACTTTTTAGCAATTGAATAATACTCAACGTCGTGCCAATAATGGATGACACAGGTGTAGGCAATTACTATCGTCTGCATTTGAATATTGAAATGGCCAACCGTTACAAGCAGTGGTTTCTCTTCATAGGCATCGAGGTATCGCATGCCTTTGAGGTAGTAAAATGGTAGGAACCCGAGAAGAAGCGCATTCGGTAGCAAGTTGTAGTAACGGCGCCTCATCGTCGAAGTCAAGCGCTTACGGCGAAAGTCGAAGCACAGCGAAGTCGCGCCAGTAGCGAGGAGGAAATAGTACCAGGAGTAGAACACGATAGACTTTACGCTAGCCATAATCGCAGCGTGTGTGAAGCAAACCTCCGCAAGACTACTAAGCTTGTTGATTTTACGTAATTGTGAACTCATAGAGAGCCCTGTGCTTAAGTTATTGTGTGCTTACGATGCATTAATCAAATGGAATCTCAATCAACTCAATCATTCAATTGTTCAGCTGTTCACCTTACTAACGCTTATCGCACAAATATCCACTTCAATTATTTGCACAACAAATTAATGCATCAGAAGGTGTAAATTAAAAGAAATATGTGCTCAACTGGAGAGATTCGAGGTTAGTGTTAGTTATGTTCACAGAAAATAACAGTCTCACTGTGGGAATTCCGTACGGACAATAAACAGTCTGAGCACCTTACAGGCTTTTTAAGAAAGGGGAGTACCGAGACGAGTAACGAGTAACCAACTCCATATATGTATGTGCAACGCACGTATGGACCATCTCTCATCAGAGGGAAAATATGAATTTCTTAATTTGAGGTGATGTAAAAGTTAAAGGGAAACGTTGAAAAGTGTTTGCTTCAGCTGTTTATTGTCGGAGATTTATTGGCTAGCGTAAACGAAACGCTGTTACCTTCAGAGTTACCTCCTTAGGATGAAACTTCCATACTTCATTCCAAATCGTACCAGCTTGGCTTGCAGCTGTTGAAGGTAGTGGCGGTCAGAGCTGGAAAGTCCAGGACCCGGCGTTTATGTGTAGGATCTACTACTCAGCTTCTAAATTCATGTATTAAGACTACTCCACCTGGGATGGTTGTTGCTAAGACTTAATACCTATCTTAAAAACCAGGCTTGGACAAGAGGCACTAGCACTAATTAGAAATTAAAATAAATTAATGAAAACCCAGAAAGCGGGTGCCGCACTCCCACTTGGTCACAATTTCAGTAAAACATTCTATGGAAAATTCAATTGAAATTTTTATTCGCATTAAAGATCAAATGAAACTGCACGAGGGTGATACTCTCGTAGAACACTCGTTGCATGATTCGTAGCCACCGCTTCTTATCTATAGTTATCGTTCGGTACAGGTCCACTCGGAAGCCATCACACTGAATACGCAGCAACCATCTTTCCAGCTGAAAACACACCCATAGATGAGACTGAGTAGAATATTTCAAGAACTAAACGTCATTCAACTCACCATTTCATACAGAGCCGGACAATATGCGTTCATTACGTTTGTACAGCGCAATTGCTCCACACTTGCGTAGTACGTCTTTACCGTCATGTCACAGACCAAAAGCGATAAGTACATGTCGAAAATCAGAGCGCAAAAGTATAGAGTGCCAATAGTTAATTGGGAGTTCGTGGCTCTGTGATCGAAAGTGAAGATGATGCCGTAATATAACTGACGTACGAGTGACGTAATCTGCTCCATTAATCCTGCCAGTATCAATACGCTGTAATTCAGTGACACTAAAATCACCAGTTTCGCCAGTTGCCAGTGCGCTTCCAGTATGCCCTCCAGATCCGTAGCTAGCGCCGTTAAGCGCCAACGCTGACCGAGCTCTAAGCTTTCATTCATTTGCGCCAACAGATGACGTAGCTGCCACTCCACATATCTCAGACTAGAACATATGGACCATAAAAACCAGAAAAAGTTGAATCTCGTGATGTATAGGATCGCTGTGGTTTGCAAACTCATCGCAAAGATAAAGCAATTTAACCAGGTGAACTCGAACTCCGCCGCTTGATGGTATATAATGGCTGTCAATGTTAAGAGCAAGCACATACTAATGAACTTCGCGTAGTAGAGGCGATTCATGCGCCGTTCAATGGATGACACACGCGGAAAGTGTGCCAAGTAGGTCCTCTGCAGTGTACGAAGTTTTTTCAACGATTCGTGAATCATGAGATCGATCTTAGAGCGCTTCAATATGGTATAAAGTACAACCAATGCTCGTATAGTGCAGGTGATGTAGGTGGCGTAGGTCATCGTGGGATTCCACTGTATGGCTGTGACACGCTTAATAGCATTCCAGAAGATCAGTGGCAAAGAGATTATTGTACACACATTGGCCAATAAAGCGAAAGTTTGTGTCCAAAACATTTGCTTGTGTTTTTCCGTGATGGAGTTGTAGCGAAATGACGTCATGCCCAGCGATATCGCGATGTAGTTGTAGAGACTTTGGTAGGATTGCTTATGCATTCTCATTGCGACGGGGAGTACCTTCGGGTGCGTGCTTGTGTGTGGAGCTGCAGTGCTTTCAGTGCAAGTATTATTCACCGAATGATAAAAGGGGATTTGCAGAAGTGTGTTGCTTGCCTGTGCAAAGGCTAGATGTAACTAATGACCCCTTCCATTAACGAGGTGGGAAAATTTGATTGAATTGATAAGATTTTAGTCATAAATAATTAATAAACCATGACGCAAAACGCATTAATTACTTGTGCGGACAAAATGAGCTCATGAAAAGCCACGAAAAGCATAGCAAGTCTCCTTAATTCCGGATCGTTATTTTAGATGCTTCAGTATTGAAAGAGTCTCCTGTACAAAGACAAGTGGCTCAATGGGAGAAACTCATGGAAGTGTAGCCTCTCATTGACTTGGGTTGTCCTGCTGTTTCGAATAGTCGACTGTAATATTGTGGACCTACTTCATACTGGAATTCGGACTTATTTCGGGAGACCTTTGCCTTCTAACTTTGGAGAACTACCGCTCTCAAAGCTCACTGTACACAGCACTATGCTAGGAAATTAACATATCCCGAGCTCCGGGTTTTTTATTTCCTTTTGCCCTTGAACTCCGCGCACAAAGTTGTCCTCTGATTATTCGGAAGGCCGAGTAAAATACTTCAATTATCAATATCTTTATTCTAATAATAAAAACAAAACTGATTTTTTAAGGTGAGCGTGATATAAGAATATGTTTGTGTGCGTTTGCTATATACATACATATACATTAATAAAGTAAGTTGAAGTAATTCCAGACATTTTAAACGGTCTCATTGTATGTACTTTTCTGAGCTTCTCACTCACTCTACTCTCTCATCCTCGCCAAACTGTAGTATATGATTGATGTGCTCCAATACGCCGCTCGATCCGCTCGTACGCTTTCGTGCCTCGTAATCGAATTGCACCAGCAACAGGATGTGGCGCACACAGAAAGCCCACAGAGCCAATGAGGTCTGGCGATTCAGCAAAAACATGCCGGCTATATTAATATCCATCTTCTGTTGTTTCAATTGGAGAGCAAATTTCTCACACTCTCGCTCAAATGACGTGCTCATAAGCGTCAAAACCTCAAAGTGCCTCAGTATCTGTGGAGTATACTGACAAGCGCGTGTGGTGTCATCCGCAGTCCAATAGAGCAAGTTGATATCGACAAAGACAATGAAACTCGCTGCGATTGATACCACAATTGAAGATGCCGTCTGTGACTGAGCGCTGTTTGAGGGTGCAAGCAGTGAAAGGATAAAATAGTAGCCGTACGAGATATTGGTTATCAAATATGTCAGAAGCACGGCAATAACTTGCCAACGGTAGACACGGTTGAGGCGCAATAGCATCACGGTGAGACGCGCATGCACGCCACTGATCTCGCGCAGTTCTTCTGCCGCTAAGCCACTTAACTGCTGCAACGTGCGACTCTTTGGCGCCAACATGTCACGTGCGTTCCTCTGCAACTTTTGTAGGTCGTGGAAGAGCTCAATAAGTCGCGCGTTGAGGCGCCAAATGCGCCTACGTACATGCCAAAGCATGTAGAAGAACAAAAACAGAACGGCATGCAATATAGTGCCGATGAGGCTCGAGTACATGGCGAGCATGAATACAAACACGTCCACATGTTTCGCCTGATTCAACACACCGAAGATGGGTACCAGCGCATCTAAGCTGACAGTGCACATTTTGATGAATATCACCATATTGGCACGCTTCTCGATTTGTAAGTTCTCAGATAGCTTGTTGAAATAGTACAAGTCGAGTTTGAAGATCTCCTGTGACAGTTCTTTGTAGAGACATTCGCGGCGCCAACGACTCACCACCGAAAAAACCACGACAGCGTAGTTGATGAAGAGATTGGCCAAGTCAGTGAAGACTAGCAAATTATTGTTGAAATTGACAGTTATGTATTTGATGGAGATGACGTGTGCAGCTGGCAGGAGGACTACCGTTACAATATTCAGTATAATAACATAATAACTAGTGAACTTCGATTCGATTATCCGCTGGTTGCTGTAGTCGATGCGTAAACGCGTGAAGCCGACCAAAATGGCGGAATAATTCATATACTTCAAACAGAGCGTGATGAGTTGCGACATTTTGGATACTTTCGATATTCTAATTTACGACGCTTTGACTGCGTTGTGTATTGTGAATATAATTTGCGACTGCTGGTATTGGCGCGTGGCCTACCTGCACCAGCAAAGTAATCATCTGCTGAGTTTTCGATTGTAATCGTTATGCCTCTCCCTCAGGTACTCAATTACACCAATAAACACATTCACTTCGCCATGCTAATTAGCGGTATTTTTTTTTTATTGTTTTGAGGGCCATTAGGGTTGACAAGCTTACTGAAGAAGGAGCATAAAGTTAGACAATTCGCCAAGGGCTAGGTTTAGCGATTATTTTCGAACGTTCTCATTGCTCTCGCTCCCTGAGATATGGAACGAGTTATCCGATTTTCCTCAAGCTGTAGAAGATTTTTTAGTATGCAAGACGCACGAACTCAGTGCTTTCGAGTAGTTTGATCTACCGCCGTCCCACAATTTGGTTAACATTGAATTTACGGTATTTATAAGTAGTAACTTCCGCACATTTTTCCGGCTAAGGTTGAGCCCTCTCCTAAAAGCATTATTTCCCAACTAGTCAATAAAAAAGGCTTTCGTTCACATATGGTTCCCTTTTGGAAATATTCAGCTGCTCGGGCTAAAGAAAATCGTGGGGAATATATGGAGCTCACAAGCCACGATTCCAAAACTCCTGTGGATCACTGGTAACGACCGATGGAAACGAAAATAAAGATTGGTTTAGACTACGCCCGAAATTTGAGAATTCCTCACTAAACTCTTTTCTCCAACGTCCATGAAAGCAAAAAGTGCGTGCCAATAAATTACCTGTGACCAAATGTGGTGAAACCCAGTCTAACTCATGAAGGGGTTACCTCTTTGACTTAACCGAATACTACCGTTAATGCTATAGCAACGCGTTTTTGTTTAGTCAGTATTATCGTAACGGTATAAAGGAAGATAAAGGTCAAAAAAGTGAAGTTTCAACATTAAGCGCGAACTTGTGATGGCCGCCCGATGTCTGGTTACACCACAATGCCAAATAAGTTACTAAGTTTTGTAGCCAACGATGCACTTTAATTGCCCTTTCATCAGATACTTCCATTTTCTGTCAATAATTCTTTCAAATTGTCAAAGCGTGCACTCTGCAGTATAGTCCATTCATTACCAAGCCAATTCGGTTGAGACGTATGGAATCGCTCAATTGATTTCAGTTATTCACGTTATTCACTTGCCATCCATTTCTACACTGAGAGATAAATTGTTTCCGAATGAAGCATTTTCCATTTCCAAACTCTGCCAATATGAGTATTTAATATAAATTTCTATGGAATGCGGCGAACGATATTAATGCTTGTATTGGTGCTTGCACAATACAAGTGCATTTCTGCGCAATTTTCTCATAAATTTGTATTGTTCAATGTGGAAAACTATCAAACATTAATATCGAAATTTTTCGAAATTCGTTGAGAAAATATACAAACAAAATGATGTTGGAGCTGATTATGACTGTGCGCTAGAGCAGAGGAGCTTCCCTTTGAGATGATTCTAAACAGTGGGTTGAGATAGGACTAAAACCCTCCAGAGAATTTTGAGCTTGAGCTTCAGGGACTCCATCTGAATAAGAAGAAGAACTACGCAGACGATAGTGTTGAGTCAGGGATCAAGCTCCGAGTGTATTATTTTTTCTTAATAGTACAGCGATGGTGGTCATTCGCGTTAGCTGACCAGCTTACCAGTAGTTCTACTGTGAAATAAACCTATAAAAGATTAAAAACAAAATAACTCTCTAACAATCAATAGTGAGACTAGGATTTCCTTGACAATTTTTGAGCACACCATGAATGAATTTCGCTAACCACGTAACTGTTAAACTTCATTTCGATTTTAGTCTCTAAGTAAATCAAAACTGACAAAAGAGCACGTTTCATATTCACAAATGTGTACATATTGAATGTCCATTGATTTCCATTACTCCTCATTCTTATTATTGTTAATTACTGTTGATAGTGACGTTTCTGATGCCAATCGGATACATCGTGTGCAGCTAGTAGCAGTTTCTTTTGTGGTTCGCTGAGGAGCAACGTAACGACACCATGTTAGTTTGGTCAAAAATGTCTCGGGTCGTAGGCTGTTTCTATCGCTTAGCTTATTACTACATGCTTGCCTTTGGTTTGCTTCGCTTTGAGTATGACTTCCGTAACAACGACGTGCGCAGAACTCGTCGCGTCGCGCTCTACTCGTTATGCGTCAACCTGTTGATGCTGTCACAAATACCACAACAATTTCAAATGGACATTTCGACTTATACTCAGCAATCGAAGGCGCGCGACATCTATCAGTTTCTCCACAGTTTAATAGTGCTGTCGCGCATTTTTGCTTGTCTGCTCATACTAGTGTTTTATTGGTTGCGTCGCTATGAAATAATCGCGCTCGTTGCAGATTTCCTGCGGCTACGTCGCGCACAAAGCCGCTACTTGTCGCCGTCGGCATCAGCATTGCGTCGCTTTCATTTTGCTTTACTGATTAAGTTTTCGTTTTCTATCACGGGCGATTTGGTGCGCTTCCTAATGTCATGGCGCTCTACGAATTGGCAGGATAGAATTATAATGATGTTCACGGCGATTTACATAGGCCTAAATAATCAGGTGTTTAATCATTTCTTTGTCGTCTCACGCCTGATAAATCTGTACTTGGAGACGATAAACAGTGAGCTGCAGCATCTGGTGAGTGCAGCCTCCGAGCTGAACTCTCAGCGCATACAGCGGCGCCACATTTTGCCATGGCGTTCTGCCCAGCTAATGAATAAGTTCAACGCCTTAATGTCGTTGCGCCAGAAGCTCCAACGTTTCGCCCTACGTGTGAACAGACTTTTAGGTCCACAAATAGCCGGTGTGATGCTAGCGCTCTACTGTTATAATGTTGGTGTGTGCTATATTATTTACTCTTTAATGAAGCCACATGAGGCTTCACTCTTGGACATTTCGGCCTGGAATATGGTGGTTTTAGTCTTCGGTACTGTCGTCTACATTGCGGACGTCACGGAGTTTCTCGTCATCAGTCAACGTCTGAGGCAGAATTTCGGCTTATGTATGCCTATAACTCTGCAACTATTGGAGCTACAACAGCTTGAGAAAAACTGGGATCGCAGTGTAAATATGAAAAGGAAAATAACTTTGAAACTGCAAGCGTTTGAATAAAATTAATTCTTCTTGCAGATTGAGCAGTTTTATCTACGCGAGGCGTGTTTTACCTACCGGCTAATGCTTTTAGGCTTTATCAGTCTGGATAATAAGATGGCGTTCACGCAATTCGAATCAGTTATATCAAAATCGATTATTTTAGTCCAATACGATTATAAAAACGTCTAATAACCGACAAATCAAAAGAATCATCTTAACGAATAAAAAGTTTGCAATAATTTTACAAGTTTTCATTAGAGCTTATTTACAGCGGCTGCTAAGCCCTGAAACAACATAATAAATATGCATTTTTTTAGCAGAGTCCACATTCTTATTGTCGCAATGCTCTTTTATAGTTTCAAAGAAGTTTGCGACTTCCTTAAGCAGCTGCCAAAAAGCAATGTATCCTTGAAGCTAAAAAGCTTTGCGGAAAAAATTCTAACAGTTTATCAAGCTTTTGTCGAAATTGAAACTTCACAGTTTCTTCGAACTTGGTGTGCGCAAAAGCTTTTTGAAGCAAACATAAGGCTTGACAGCTTTCAAAGCTTCTTTGCCAGCAAATTATATCCTTGTTGTTGTTAGTATATAAGAATACAAATCTGATTGACGATTGGCAGCAATACGAACTGTTGTTAATCTATTTCTCTCTGGTAGGCACGGGCCTTCAATAAACTTGACAGAAATCTCATGCATCCTGAACCCTCAGTTAAAAACAGATCGTCCCTTACCGGACACTCCAAGCTTAGAAAAATTTCACTTATCTTTTTTTACATTTAGCAATGAAGATTGTATAAGATATTTTTACCAGAAGGAGAAGAGATGGACTCATATAAATTTATTTATTTAGTTTGAAAGTAGTCCCTCGGTTTTTGAGACATTTCATCCAAACTTGGTACCGTCCGACTGTATCCGCCCGCCATAGCATAAATACGACTAATTTATAACGACTTGAATTTTTGAGCCATAGGTCCGTTTAAAAAGCATCTAAGATCGTGAAATTTGGTACTCTACACACACATGAAGAATTACACATCTACCAAGGGGAAAATTAGGTCTGTGCACCGCTTTTCGTTTTCAAAGTGCTTAGCAACTTTTTCATCACCAGCTAACACTGCTATTCATTCCCACACAACTATGCGTAAAACTCGTGCGACATGCAACACGTGCTGTGGCTGTGGCAAATGCAATGCAAAGTATGTATTCAATCTAAGGTAAATATAGGTCGGCAGACAATAATCTGGGTGTATCTTTGAGTTGCTTAAACAATGCAATCAGCATGCAAATTTGCATATGTCGTGGCTCGCAGGAGCGTTGCTGGTCGCATTGCTCACATGTTGCAGCTTGCACTCGGCTGGTGAGAGGAGGTGAGTAGGGCATAATAATTTCTCTAATGTCTCAGGAATGCAAAGCAAAATCGCGTGGCTGAAACAAATTGGAAATATTTGAAGGAGTTTTTATTTTTGTTTTGTGCAAATGAATTTCCAGAATAGTTAGCCGAAGTCCGAGAAGCGGATGCACATTTCGCAACTCGTGCTGCGCTTAGAAGCATTTCTCGCATTTAATGGCGTACAATTGAGAGGGTGTTGTCAGAAAAGGTGCAGCAAATAATTGCAGGAAATTAGTGGACAAAGGTATTTTATGGAGAATTGGCTTAGGAAGTAAAAGAATATATTTTAATCGCATCGTAAATGCACTTTGCTTTATTAAAAGTGTTTGATATGATGACATCATACGGATGCACGCCTACAGGGAAAAGCGAGAGAGGGAGAATTGTAAGATCCTTGTAATACTTAAATCAATTATTGCATAGAATGTTTCTTTTACGGCGAACACTCCGTTTCTTCGATGTGGGTGTAGTACGAAATTGATTTATTTAAAATGTCCCGCCTTTCTTTGCGAAAGTTCTTTGTGGGTCAAGTGAAAGTTTGGTTCAAAAGACATGAAATCAAAATAAAGTAGTTGAAATAATTATTTCAAGCTAAAAAGACAAAAAGCCTTCTTTAAAAAATACATAATTTCCGCCCTCTAATCGCTTGAGCGATTTTTGGTTGAATTCTGCGTGCTCTACACGCACTGGACTATTGTCACATCCACTCACGTCAGAATTCGTTGTTCGCCCTTTAAATCCCTATCTCTCCAGCTGCGCAAACCTCAATTGTTTTCTGTCTTTCCTTTGACTCCGAAGCCTTGACCTGCTTTCCTCTTAAACTGCTGACATAATATTTAGCTTTAATGTGTGGAAAAATCCATTTATTCCCTATTTCATGTATTTTTCTCTCAAAGCTTCAAGCGTTCGCGTTGCGTGGGACAAAAACATACAAAAAAATTAGTAAACTGAGTAAATGAATAAAACAGTCGGTGACGTTGGTCATTAGTTAATCTTTTTTCTGTTTTAGTTAAATGATTCGGCTTACCTTGACTTTTTTGCACACACTTTTGAGTGAGGAGAAAGGTTGAAATAAGCGATCCTTGTAGGAAATGATGCTGTTGTTTCCTGTATATGATAAAAGTAGTTTTTGGCTTTTTTACAATATAAAGAAGCCAGTAAGTTGAGAATTTAAGAAAACATAGAGAAAATGCCATGGTTCATCGGCTTTGTAAATTTAAGGCATAATTTTTTTTAAAAGCCTCGTTTGAAAAGAAATAATCTTTCAGAATACTCATTCAAGACTATACCATAATACTTCAACCATCGCTTAATATTTCCTACTGACCATCTGACTTCCTCCACGCGGATAAAATGATTGCGTTATTTGACAGTCCGTTTGCTTCATAGGATTATACTGTGCGGTATAATCCGCTGAGTTAATAACAATAACAATAACGGTAATTATTAACACCACAAAACATGTATTTGTACAATTCATTTATTTCATATTCATACTTCTTTCTTTGGGGATATCCGAAGCATTTGGTGAGTAATAACTCTTAAGTGGAGCACGTATATATATATATATGTTTATATGTGTGCACACCATATTTCACTATTTGTCGCCGTCCGCTGATTTCAAGGCGAATTTCGTATCATAGATTGCCTTGGCACAAAGTGACTCTGTGGTTTCCATCTCCCTCGCTAAAGGTTTCATCGGTGACCATTATTCATTTTCTAACCATCACCACCTCCACTTCCATTCAGTTTAGCACACACTCGACGCCCAATAGGTTTTGTACTGTTGGCTAGCGAAAAAGCATCGTGGTAATAAAACAATCTTCCAATTTTCCAGCTGACTGCATTAACTTCCTTAGTGAAGACTCAAAACACTGTCGGGATACGCGTGGGTGTTGAGGGACACAAGCGGTACAGGAAATGGGGCAAATGTAACGCGTGTCAGCGACAATGATGATTGTTGCCAAAAGTGCGAGTGACGGAAGTTGATTTTATTATGCTTTGGTGCCAATGCGCAAGTTCGTATGGATGTGTCACTTTTGTATTCAGTATTATACAAACAACGTGCAAGGTGTCAACTCGATGATATAAATTTTGGGATTCGCTTGATTTGCAAGATGATTTTTGTATAGAAAAAGCCTTGAACTCTTTACACTGGTATTTACTCGAGCTAAGAGGACCAATTATACACCATTGTGAATACAAAAGAAAGAAGGTTCTTAAAAGTTTGAGCCGATTTATGTGTGCTGTACATATGTGGGTTCTAGATCGTAGGGTCGAACGTGGTAATTTTAAATTTTGTTTAAAACTGATCGACTTAATCGCTCACGTTCGGAGAATACTGAAGAGCACCATAACTACTCATATCAAAATATTTTTTTCTTTTATTCTTGGCTGAGCTGTCTTCGGCTATGCCAAAGTCTTTATACCTTCCATGATCAAATCAAATAAAACCAATATTAATTCTTTAATCTTAGAAGTTGCTGGAGGGGCTATATGAAAGTTACCCGATTTCGATGCATTTCAGAATTATATTTATTTGTACATACGTATGAATGCTCTAGATGCTTTCTGATGGATTTTTGACTTAAAGTCTTTCATTCAGTATATGGGATTTCGATCATTTTCAGAACCAATATAAAACTCGTCATACGTGTATGTGTGCAGAATACTAGTTTTCAATTCAAAAATTGATGTTATATATATTTTGTAGTAGTTATATAATATCAACTCATTGCTATTGAGAGTCCGCAACATGCAAAGATTATAAAAATATACTTAGAAAACTTCGTTGGGGATTTAGAGTAGCAGATTACTCCCTTTGTCACTACGCCCACACAATAATTATTCCACACGCACCCAGGAGCTGATTCGCATATCCTTGGTAATACTAAAGTTAACCAATTTCATATGACCACACCTTAGGCCATTTTTAATAACAAGAAATGCAAGGCAAAGGGCCTCTCCCAATTTGCTACAAGCAGAAATTCTACATCACGATCTCAGCCTACAAGTGAACGATCTAAAATTTTCTGACATCGTCAACCTGTATATTATCCCTCCTCACACGAAATGACTACCTTCGATTTCCAAATATTCGTTCACTTTTGTGATCTTCCTTTCGCTACAGCTTAAGTGCACTCTCTGCACTGGCTTCATTGAATTTTCATTAGTGTTCTTACTAACGGTTATTTCAGTTGTTCTTTGTTGTCCACATCTGCTGTTGTTGTTCTTGTTGTTGTTCCTGTTGTTTTAGATGTATAGCGCTAGGATTGTAGCTTGTAGTAGCTGTGTGGCTACGACGACGTTTTCATGTCCAAGGCGAATTTATGTCAACCGGAAGTAGGTTTACTGACCCACGTAGTACGTACGTACTACGTCCTCACAAACATAACACCAACACATGCGTATGTATATACGAGCATGCAGAGTGACGCCGGGAACAGGCCAATTCATAAGAGCTCACCTGTGTGTGAAACAGCAACAACTTGGAGAAAGTGGCGAAGCCACATACATGCATACACAATCTGACTTGAACGTCCACTGCAAACATGTGGCCAAAAGAAAGTCAAAAGGTAAAAAGAAAATCGTTTGGAGAATTCAACAAAAACAAAAATTGAGGAAAAATAAGTAACAAAAACAAAACATATGTTGTAAGAAGCAGGCGCTTGACGGCGCAAAGAAACTCGAATTGGACAGCGAGAGGCGAAATGGTTTTCAGTTTCTTAGCGGACGGCATATGCAGCGGATCGATGCAGAAAAGGACAAAACGGTTTTGATTGCGGTACGGTCACTTGGAAAG